TAGACTTATAAATTGGCTTCTTAGGGTTTTATTAAGACTTACGCTTTATTCTATTGCAAAACCTTGAGAACTTTTGGTAAGAGAGATCAGAACTCCATGTAGAGAGAAGATTTCAATACTCCCTTGTTTCTCTATTTAGTTTCTTAATCTATATTATTCAGTTCATGATGTTTGCTTCTTACATGATGTCTGAGTAGTCTTCTTTGTTAGGGTTGGGGATTCTCATTAGGGATTTCATGACTTGTTAGGTAGATTTGTTAGATTAGGGTTCACCATCTTAATTGTTCTTCACCATACGTTGTTCTTAATGCTAGTTTTAGATTGATCACCTAAAGTATAGATCTTAGGATAATTGATTTGACATGACATGACAGAAAGAACCTAGGGTGAGCAAAAATTTTATTCGCAAAGAGATTTGGTTTAGGGATTTTGTGAGCACATCAAACTTGAATGTTAATGCTGGTTTAAAACTTCATAATTTAGCAAAGAAATTTGGAGTTCTAGTTTTAAATTTAGATAATCATCGCAGCGAAAGTTGGTAGATTTTACATTTAGTGATTTGAGTTCAAGAACGACGCTTAATCTAAATCCTAAATTTTTAATTTATTTAATTTGATTGATTTCCGGAGAATCCCTGAGCCTATAGTTTTCTCATATTGTTTTAAAAACCAATCTTTATTTTAAGTTGTTGTTTAAATATTAAAACCTTGATTATTTAGCTTAATTTTAAGACAAAATATTTATTGTGTAATCTTTGAGTATCTGTGGATTCGATCCCTAAGTATTACAGTGATCTCTTAATTGAGAGAGTAGCTCAGGGAAAATTTGAGCCAATCAATAACCTGGTAGATGGGAGGACCGCTTCACTGAGTATTTGGGATAATACTCACGCATCTCATTGTTTTTATGATGCAGATAAAGATAAAGTGTGATTTTGGAATCAAGGCAAGGAAGAGGGCGATGATTTAAGATCGTTGTTTGGGTGTTTGGTTATTTAAATTTATTGTTTTGGAACCATTGTTTGTGCTGAGGTCTCAGTAACAATAATACAGGACGTTTTGTGAGAATAGTTGAACGAGTCCTTTTGTTAATTTTTATCGAAAGAACAGGTTTACAGAATTGCGAGTCCAAGGTCGGCGGTTTTGGTTAATTGTTGATCGTACATATCAGAAAAGACAATAGCAGAGAAACAACAAGCTAATAAATGTAGACAATGCTATTGTTCTACGGGTAATGACTAAAAGTCTGGATCTGTACGCCATCGAGCTCGTCGGCCCAAACTCCTTTTTTTATCTTCGAGTCGCTCCTTGATGCCATCGATAATAGTTTTGTTAGTAGGTTTGGCTTGACCATTTCCTCACGGATATCAGGGAGTCGACTTGCTCTAGCGTATCCGCCAACAAGAGCAAAAACCTTCAAATTTTAGTGATGTGAACTGGGTGCAGTTATTGGTGACGGTCTCGTATGGAGTCCGTTCCTACAAATTATGTTCTTCCAAACAACCTTTGATGGGATTCTTGCGTAAGATTCTGCTTCAACCCATTTGATGAAATAATCTGTCATAATGAGGATATATTTCTTTTGACGGGAGGCGGGTAGAGGACCGACGATATCCATCGCCCAACGCATGAATGGGTAAGGCTGCGAGGCTGTACAAAGGAGTTTGGTTGGAGCATGAATGAGAGGAGCGTGACGCTGACATTTTTCACACTTGGCCAGTTTTGCAAATCTGTAATGCAAGAGGTCTGCCGCCAGAGTGGTTTCTGCCCGCGCCTTCGTGGACTTCTCGCATTACATCGTCAACCTCGTTAGGGCCTACACAAGTGAGTAGTGCTGATGCAGTTATGCGGAAGAGATCTCCCTTTAGACTTTTAATGGGGGGACATGAAAATAGCAGTTGACTCATGCATGTAGATCTCCTGTTACCAATACACCATTCACTATTTTTTATTTTTTTAAAACAAAAACAAAAAAGCTGTATGCAGTTCATTTTTTTTTTTGTCTTTTTGTGATAAAGACAGGACATCTGTGGGGGAAATTGTTCACGCTTCTTTTGATGTTTTTTATTTGTGTTTTCATACAGTTTTATTTTTGAAATAAAATAATTACTCAAAAAACACCCTTTCTTTTTTCTATATAATTACACTTCACAACATTCACACCTCACACTTCTTCTTTTTCTCTTGAGTTTTAACCTTTTTTTTGCAAAAGTATTTTTTTTTTTCAGTTACATACATTATAATTTTTCTATACACTAACATATGTATCTTTTTTTTTACAGAATTCAAAATACAATCCAAGCTTCAACTCTACACCTCTTGTTTTTATAATTTCCTGCTGAAAGGTATATATTTTTTCCTCTTAAATAAATGTTGTTACTTTATATAATATATTAGTAGTTATAAAATAAAGGTATTAAAATTTTTGTTTAAAACATGCATTTTCTACCAATTATGTAATATGTATGTTTATTTTATTTATATATATATATATATAATATATATAGTGTTTGGTTAATTTATTTAATGATTATAAATTATACATTTCCATCATATAATTTTAAAATATTTATTTAAAGAAGATTGGACAAAAATATTCGAAATTGATCAGTTATTAATGATTTACTTCTCCAAACTAATTAATTAATTTACCAAACAATTATTCCTAACAAAAAATGAATTAATCCAGGTTAATAAATATATTTATTTCCAAAAAAGAACACTTTAATGCTAAAAAGAAGAAAAAAATGAAAAAGAAGAGCACATTCGACAAACTAAAAAATCCAATTGAACACCTTTTTTTTTTAAAGTACCTTAACTAACAAAAGTACCTTCACTTAAAAAAGTGTTAATAATACAAAAACAAAAACAAAAAAGTAACTGGCATAAAACATATATTATGAGAAATTAACAACTCATAATGTAATGTTATCTTGAAAAATGCATATAGCAAACAAGTCAATAATTTGTATATTTAAAAACTCCTAATCTAACTCCCACACATCATGAATAATTTGTATAGTGATTTTTTAACATATATCTATCATTATACTTTGTCTAAATAACTTCGCGTACTATTTGAAATGGACTCCTAGTTAGGAAAGACTATTTATTGAGCTTTACGATCAAGCAATTGCCATGAATAATTACCGCTTCAAAGATCCAACACTCCTTGGAAGAGAGTTTTTGGTTGAAAAATTCAACAAGATGTTCAATCTAAATATAAACTATCGGTTTTTCAAAGAAAAGCTTGATGAACTGAAAAGAAAGAACAAGAAAATTATGCAAAATTCTACGGGAATTTCAGTTGACCATGTAACATCCGTCATATTTGCGTCTAATTCTTGGTGGAAAGATCGTGAAGCTGTAAGCATTAAAAATATCTTTCACAGCCAAAATATGCTTAGTAATTTTGGTATACATTAAACTTGTATACTAAAATTTAATAAACTTATTAACTGAGATGTAGGATTGTAAGATCATTTAAACGAAAGCCGCCTGACTATTGGGATGTGATGCAACGTTGTTTCATCTTACATGATGTACAATCACAGTCTCAATACTCTGTGCACCAAAGACGAGAAGAGTTAATGAATGAGGGCGTAAATGATGGTGAAACTCAAGTTCCTGAGACACAAGAAAATGAAGAAGTGTATCGCGTTAATATCAGCGATGAAACACGTGCCTCAAATGAGTTCACCCAGGATCATTTACATCAGAATTCTCCACATGCTCCTCCGTTTCATACTCTTGTTTCAAGAGTTAAACAACAAGGTGGATTAAGAAGTGGGAGTATTTGACAAAGAGGGGCAGGAACCTCACGAATCTCTATTGGGAGTGGTTCAAGAGGAAATTGCAGAAAAAAATCATTTGAGTCAATTCTAACAGATACAATGAATGGGTTCAGAGAGTTTCAGCGCCAAAGTTTAGAACAATTACGTCCAAATATTTTCGACCAAGATGATTACGAATAATTTGATAATTCTGTCAAGATATTTGAATCGTTAGAGCTCCCGAGTAACACAGATTTTTATTGGGCATGCATTCATGCATTTAAAGAAGAAAGATTTTGGCGTAGATATTTTATGGATCGAGCTGAGAGAACCATGGAAGATAAGCTGCGTTTTTACAAGCTTTAACTGGATATACATGGGACAGTGAATTTGTGGGGAAACACTTAGTCTCTGGGAAAAAATGTGGAAGTCGTAGTCCAAGCAACTTTACTTTTGGTAGTTCATATTGTGGTAATAATTCTTGGAGTCAAAATTCTGGTGGGCAATGGGGTCCGAGTTTTCAACAGTGGGGGATATCTCCGAATGGATCACAATGGGGTCCAAGTGCCCCGCTGTGGAGTACATCTCAAAATGCTCTACATTGGGGTACACCTCAAAATGCTCCACATTGGAGTACACCTCCATATGCTTCGTAGTGGGGCTTCGCAGTGGGGTACACCTCCAAATGCTCCGCAGTTGTGTACACCACCAAATGGTTCGCTGTGGGGTACCCGTTTAAATGGTCCGCAATGGAGAACATAAAAAAATGCTCCTCAATTGACTTCACCACCAAATACTCAACAGTGGGGTTCATCACCTTATGCACCACAATGGGGTTCATCACCTAATGCAACACAACGGGGTTCATCTCAACATGCTCCACAATGTATCCCTCCAACAAATGTGCAGCGTGGATTTTCAATTGGAACAGAAGTAGAGACCTAGAGCGAATGTCACTTGATGGTTTTAGATCATTGTGTGACAAGTTACAAATGAGTTATGGTTTACAACCTAGAGCGAATGTAAGAGTTGAAGAGGGAGTGGCCATGTTTTTACAAATATTTGGGCATAATGAAGTTCAAAGAGATGTTTGATTGCTATTTGGGCGGACGGAAGAGACAATGAATAGATTTTTTTTTCAAGTGCTTAGAGCAGCTGAGTTACTTGCTTGTGATATATCAAGACTCCAACGAGACAAGAACTGCGTCGAATACCTCAACGACAGCAAATGGATCGTAGATATTGGCCATATTTTGGTGGATTTGTTGGAGCTATTGATGAAGTTCATGTATGTGTTAAAGTTAAACCTGAAAACTCCAAGGAATGTATTGGAATCGCCATGATAGAACCTCGTTTAATATGATGTAAATAAGTGATTTGAATATGCTGTTCACATATGATCTACATGATCTGAATTTGTTTCATATGATCTGCATGATTTGCAACGCTTGATCTGCTTTTACCATTCAAAGTCTTAATATTGTGTATTGCATGCTTCGTGTTCTTAAACGTCGGGCTTCCCACTTATCTGATGGTACAATACCATCAACGATTGTGGGGTCGTTGACAACAACCTCTGAGTTCGAAGAAGGATCTTGCGAGGTAGCGGACGGGCTGCTGATAAGTCTGTATTTCATCGCTTTTTGAGCATGCATTCATCATCTTTTCAGCATCATTCACTTGTTGATTCGCATCATATTGATCCCTTTCTGCATGTTTTACATACTTAGGTAGGTTTTATGCATATCATGCATATCTTGTATACATTGTGCATATTTAGAGTGTTTCAGGTACTTAGGAGACATGCAGAGCGAAGCAGAGAAACAAGCGTTACTCGACATGCACACGATCGAGTGGGACGATCGAGTGAGAAGCAAGGATGCATTGCAGGAACATACTTCACTCGATTGACACGACCGAGTAGGACGATCGAGTGAGCAGCAGACGTATACGATCGAGTAGCTGATCGAGCTGAAGGGAAGCAAAGCAGAACCACCTGTCACTCGATGCACTCACTCGAGTGACATGATTGAGCAAAGCAAAGAAGTAGCTGATGGTTTCACAGGTCACTCGACACAATCACTCGAGGAGCACAGTCGAGTATGAAATGATGCAGAGAAGAAATTAAGTGTTACTCGACACGCTTACTCGACCGACATGACCATTACAACTTTTAAACCGCTTTTACGTTGTCGTTTTATGTTTTAAGGTTTTCCCAAACATTGTTATAAATAGGTCTCATTTGGATTGCCCAAGGGATCGAGTTTTATTTTATTAGGTTTTTGTTGTTAGCCACCAAACGATCCTGAGAATTGTAATCGTGATTTCTTTGGAGTTATTGATATTTTGCAGTTAGTTCTTGAATCATTGTTGTTACTCTTCATGTCATCTTTATTATTATGCATGTTTTGAACGATTCTTGTTTCATGATGTTGAACATGATTTCTGCGTCTGAGTAGTGTTAGGGTTCTTGAGGATGGGATAGATTAGGTGGAGGATGTTAGTTTGCTAGAGTGTTTATGTTAGATTTGTTTTGTTTCCCTTCTGGACTAGAGTTTTATTAGCTAGTTCTTTTCTGATCAATTGGAACTGGGTCATAGACATTTCATACTCGAAAGGTATATTATGAAATGTCTGAACCAACTAGTGCCAGAGATTTACATGCTTAGCCCAAGAGATTGGTTGTCTAAGATGTTTATTGACATTAATGAGCTGTTTCTTTATG